GCCAACTCGGCAGCGCAAGTGGATAAACCCCGAAGCTATTGGGAAATGAAGAGTGGCGCAGTATCATGCTATATGTGTTGAATAACCTTACCGAGGTGCAGTCGTTCATCAAGTAAGTTCTCAACAAACTTGTTTCAATATGCCGTCACTATTCTGCATCCAACCCCATTGATTCTCGTTCGGACAAGGAATTTGTTCGTGAATTCTGGCATCAATCAAGGGATCCTACCTCGCATGAACAAGACACCCTTGTTTCGCGGGGTGCGGGAGCGGGGAGGCCTGATTTCATTTCTTGGTTCAAACAAAAGGTAATGTCCAATTTAGCTCGTATGTTCGATCGTCCAAGGTGATCGTATGTTTGATTAATATAACGATCTATCATGCTTCACCTTGCAGGCCCAAACTGGTTCGTCCATGAGTGACGAGTTGAAACAGGTTGCAAATGGTTGTGACGTTAGGGTGAAGTCATTTATCGGCTATGACGTGAACGGATATCGCTTCCACACAACAAGTTACGAGCAGATTCGGCCCAAACGAAAAACCACAAATAGCGGAGTTTGTATGCCCGGCACTGATGGCCTCGACTATCATGGTAGAGTTGAGGAAATCTATGAACTCTCATTTCATGGAGACAAACCTCTTAAACCTATCATGTTCAAATGCCAGTGGTTTAATCCTCGATCAACGAGACAAACCCCTCATCTTGGGCTAGTCGAGATTCCATCTATCCTGGAAAAGATGTTTACATTGTGGCTCAACAGGCCGTGCAGGTGTATTATACTCGATACGCCAACCAAGACAAAGAGGATCTTAAGGGTTGGGCTATTGTGCACCAGGTATCTCCACACGGTAAACTACCTGCCCCAAACGATGATGATTACAACTTCAACACAAATACATATGATGGATAGTTCTATCAAGAAGATGGGCTACCAGGCACGTTTGAGATAGTCTTACCCGAAGCAATCGAAATGGAAGTAGACAACGAAATGGTTGATGGCGAGGTCGATGGAGATGTGGTGGTAAATGCCAAGGACATAGCAATGCTTGAGCGATTACTTCTAGGCAATGACTACGATGACAACATAGAACCTTCGGATAGTGTTGCCCATTTGGACAATTTTGACAGTGATGATGAGACCTATGATCCCAATCATGAAGATTATTCCTAATACATGTAATACTATATTTTTTTAATTTGTGTTTTGTTTATATATTTTGAATCTAATTCTAATATATGTACTAATTAGTCTTGTTCATTCTTTGTGATTGCAGGTGATTGAACAAAGATGGCGAGCAGACGTCCAAGCCGTGACGTGCCCTCGGTTTACGGGAGAGACCGCCCTCTCCTTCGAGGTGAGGGGTCGTCGTCTGGGGCAGCGTCCGCAGGAGGTGATGAGAGGAGGACCAGGGGCAGCAGTCGCAGGAGGCAGCGGTCTCCTCCCTTGCCACATGACGAGGTGCTGGAGGAGGAGCATGTGACGGCCATGGCCACATCCTCATCGGAGGACGAGTGGGGTCAACAGATGGGCGAGGTAGGTGAGGCGCTCGAGGGTGAGGGAGGCGAGGGGCTCGAGGGCAACGGAGGGGGTACCGCTACCCGGACTCCCTACGAGCGAGGTCCCGTGAGCCTCCCTCTTGTTCCACTTCCTCACAACCGCCCAGTGATTCGGCCTATGGCAAAGAGGTAAGTAACTATAGATGTTATCACAATTACTTCATAAGATATGTTGGAAATCATAAGAGAAACTGATAAATTTTCTTAATCACTTGTGCAGGGCCTGGTTGGTTTTGTCAGGTACTTCAGCACGCACCCCCACGAGCATCCTTGGTGTTTTGTGCAGGAAATAGTACCCCGGCATTGTGCAACTGTCTGAAGAGCCGGTGGTGCGGGAGCCGGCCTCCAACTGGGACAGGTACGCGCTGGTCACGGATGACACTTACCACAACAAGTAGGAGCGGGTATTGGCGGAGTTTTGGGTAAGTTTCTCTCGCACAACATTGCTTAATACATCTCATTCATTGGTTAAATGTTTTATTGAAATAATGAATGGATACATCAGTTTTGTATGCAGAAATTTTTCAAGGCCGAAGAAGGACTTGAGGCCCAGGCGGATCGGGCGGCTGTCGTAGCTTGTAGGAAGTATGTCACCGAGATGCACCACAATGGGCGCATCCAAGCCCACATAGACTACTACAGGTCGGTACTTAAGCAGTCCCTCCCCAAGCCTCAAGCAAGACTGATTACGCTGACCCGGGACCAGTACCTTGAGGTAGGCGAATAACATTCATAATGATTCGTTTTGATATTAAGTAGGTTCAATTTCATCTTCTTATATGTCAAATACTCGATGACTTGTAGGTGACTCCCTGGTGGTGCCGATCATATCCCGAGTGCTGGGCCATGATCGTGGACAAGTGGTTATCACAGGACTTTATTGACACGCACGAGAGGCACCGGGAACATCGTCTGATGAGCCCAGGTCCAACTCACCATCAAGGCAGCCGTAGCCTCCCTGGATACAAACAAGCATACGTAAGTAATTTCTTTCATTTATTTTGATGCTCAATTCTGCTTGATTTCTCACCATCTTCCCGTCTTTCTCGTAGGAGGCTGCGCACCCGGGCGAGGAGGTCTCGGAGTTCTCTGCATGGGCTATGTCCCACATGGGCAGGGCGTCATCCTCTGTCTCCTTCGACCCGCCTGCCCCACCCCAGGTGTACTCCGACCCGAACGTGTACAGTAAAGTCCAAGAGTACACGTCCTCGGTAAGGGAGATATATGGAGAAGATTATAATGTGCGCACTGGGCCCATTGATACAGAGACGATCATGAGGCTCGGAGGAGGCAAGAAGCACGGGCGGCTGTGGATTGCAGGCGGCGCCATCGACTCCACCACTGTTCCCTCCCTCGACGCTATCCGAGCACGGGGCACGAGCTCCAGCCAGCCCATACGCTCATAGCCTTCTCCAGCACTGCAGCAGGTCTAGGCACTCCAGGTAATTCCTGTTTTACTCGTCATACGTTGATATTTACACACCTAAATTATATTTGCATTACTGATACATTAGAGTGAAATATTGTAGGCCGAGCTGGAAGAAACAAAAAGGCAAAGTCAAGAGCAGAACGCAGAACTGACCGCACAGCTGCAGGCCCAGCAGGTCGCGTTTGAGGCCGCGCAGAAGCAGATGGCAGAGATGATGGTGATCATGCAAAGTCTTGGGCAAGCATCGAGTGCACCTATGCAGTTTTCAGCTCCTCCACCTCCTACTCCTGCAGCTACTCCTGTAAGTATGAAAGTTCACTTTTCGCTTATGCTTTGCATGTATGTCGGCCTTCGTGCCGTTGTGGATGTCGGCGTTCGTGCCGTTGTAGATGTTGGTGTTCGTGCCGTTGTTTCTTGCAGGTTTTGGAAACCTCGCCGTGCAGGTGAGGTGCTGCCGAAATTTTCAATTGAGTCTAATCTTTTTGTATTCCTAGATTACTAGATGCAATATCTAAGTTCCAAAACTATTTTCCCGGATTAGTCACACATGCAATCTCTGCTTCTTTGTGCAGCATCCGTCCGCGGGTTCCAATCATCCCGGTAGTGCGTCACCGGCTGATCCCGCCTTTCCTTCACCACCGTCTCATAGGCTACCTTGATGAGGACTAGTGCTAGGTGATGTGGTTAGACTTTATTATAATATTTGTGGTTTATGGTTCTGACTTGTGCTTGGATTTCATGAACTTGTCGTAATAAACATGTGAATGATGATGAACATGTGACTTGTCGTTGTAATATATCGTCATTTGTAGTTCACAATTATGGTTGTGATATATTGTGACAAAATGGGTTATGTGTGATATATATGAAATGCTTGTGTCGATGGAATGCAAAAAACAAAAAAAAATAAAGTTTTGCCTCTATGCCGAGGGCAATGACCAAGGCCCTCGGCAAAGAAGGGTCCTTTGCTGAGGGCCGTCCCATTACCCTCAGCAAAGATTTTTTTTTAAAAATAAAATTTCTGCAACATTTCTTTGCCGAGGGCCATGGTTGGGGCCCTCGGCAAAGACTTAAAAAAAAGTCTTTACCGAGGGCCTTCGGGGAAGCCCTCGGCAAAGATTTTTTTTTAAAAAATAATTCTTTGCCGAGGGCCGTCCCATTGCCCTCGGCAAAGATTTTTTGGAAAAATTCTGCACATTTCTTTGCCGAGGGCCATGCTTGGAGGCCCTCGGCAAAGATTTTTCAAAAAAAATTATTTGCCGAGGGCCCCCGGAGACGGCCCTCGGCAAAGACTCCGTCCCAGGTGCCGGCGCCGTGACGGCTGCTTTTCTTTACTGAGTGCCGCTCCAGCCCTCGACAAAGGCTTTGCCGAGTGCCCGACCGACTCAAAATTTCCCGAGAGCTCTTTGCCAAGGGCCACCCTCGGCAAAGCCTTTGCCGAGGGTTAATGGGCTAAGGCCCTCGGCAAAGAGGCCGTCTCGAGTAGTGAACCCGATAGTCGGTATCTCTGGCCCAGAAGTAGATGTGCTCCAATTGTGCCAGCATTTGTTTACTCATTTGACTAAATGCACATGCATGATTAAATTTAGGATCATGTTTTCACCAGCATATATATAAACACAGAAGAATAAAAGAAACATTCATTTGTATTCATCAGTGTATAAACATAAAACAAGAATAAAATAAAATACTCAAAAAAGAGAATGAAAGATCAAGGAGTTCCTTGGTGGCTGTAATTCTTCTTCTGTTTTCCTTCGTCTAACAAAACTAGGTAGCATTTTTGAAGCTGTAAATTGAATACAAGATTATTTGCCAGGTGTACAAATTGAATACAACATTACTAGCAACTAGAAAACCAGTGTAATATTATGCAGGTCTCACAAAAAAAATATTAAAAAACATCACATTTTTCATATCTAGCCAGACACATTTTGCGCGCGCAGAACGTGGATACATAGTGTTTGGCTAGTGGTGTGCAATGGCGTCTGGATCTCCTGTCGATAGCAGCACACATCATGCAGTGAAATTGTTCTCCACCGGCCTGCTGGTGATGCCGGCGTGCAGCAGCAGCGCCCACAGGAGCGTGATGAGCTCGCCGCCACGCTGCAGGGCCTCGATATGGACCTTGACATTGTCGGAAGGAGCGAGGTAGAGCAGCATCTCCGACCAGAAGTCGGAGAGGAGCTCCCACACCTCGTCTTCAGCTTCCTCCGCCAGCTGCTTTGCAAGCTTCGCGCCATTGATGAGCACCTCGTGGGAGTTTTGGCTGAAAGTGTCGAGCAGGTGTTGGTACACGGACGACTCATCACCGCTGCACCTGGGTGCCGCCTCGATACGCTTCTTCACGGCCTCGTAGCGGCGTTTGATCCAGTCAGGCTTGTCCGGCAGCAGTTCCGGAGCCTCGGCCACCAGGTACATGCAGTAGCGCGACAAGCAACAGGCGACGACGATCTTCTTCTTGCTGTCGTCGTTGGCCACCGGCGGCGTCGAGGGAGAAGGAGGAGTACCGCCAGCAGATTCGGAGCGGCGCCATTTCATGTCGAAGAGGGTGGTGGCGATGTACCACACAAGGATAGCATCGGTGGTGGTGATGACGTCGACGCCGTCGCGGCACGCCCATGTGATGTCGTTGCCAGGTGCGAAGGCATGTCGCCCTATCGCCGCCGTTCCGTTGCTCAGCTGGCCGCCGCCGCCCCTCAGTGACTTGAGGATGGCCTCCTTCACCTCGAGGGGAACCTCGATCTTGTCATCTTGGTTTCTCCCCCGTACGAGGGAGAGCAGCTGTCTGGTCCTGGCTCTCATGCCACTAGTAGAGAATAGACCTTTCATACGATGCTAAAATGGGCTCTACTCTCGGCATTTTTTGCGCCTGGGACTAGAGAGGCCTTTAGTCCCGGTTGGTGTCTCCAACCAGGACTAAAGGTCTCTGCCCAACGGCTACTGTGTTCGGCACAGTGGTAGAGGACCTTTAGTCCCGGTTGGAGAAACCAACCGGAACTAAAGGTGGACCTTTACTCCCGGTTGGAGCCACCAACCGGGACTAAAAGTTCTCAACCTTTAGTCCCGGTTGGTAACACCAACCGAGACTAAAGGTCTCTCGATGGGTTAGTTCAAAAGGGAAGCATCCCATCTATTGTTAGATGTGTTGTGTATGTGAGGTGGTAAGCTACGCGCGAGGCAATGCATGGGGTCTTGGGTTCGAATCTCACGGGACGCAGCGGTGGAAGGCATTATTTTTTTTAAAGCTGGGAGGACCTTTAGTCTCGGTTAGTGTTACCCACCGGGACTAAAGGGGGACCTTTAGTCCCAACCTTTAGTTCCGGTTCCATGCTTACTCCCTGGTGGGGAACCAGGACTAGAGGGGGTTCTTCACCGGGAATAAAGCTCTGTTCTTTATCATTGAGCGGCGGCTCCACGCACCTGGCTGCTGGTGCTGTACGACGAAGAGGTCTGGCTTTAGCATCTGGGTTTGCCGGATCTTATCTTGCCAAAACTCTGGGGTCTTGCATCGTCTGAGCAGCCAGGCCAAGAACCCACTTGGTGCAGGGTGTGGGGACCGAACGATGTGCCCAATTATGCTGATCTTGGTCCATTCGAAAGCACACTAGCGACCATGTCCCGATCTCGAGGTAGGCATTCACCAAATCGTGACTCAAGCAACACCAAAGGGTTCTGTAGTACAAGTAAGAGCAGGAGCGTACTACTTTTGGGTAGACCAGAGGGCCAGGCGTTAGCAAGAGAAACGAGGGAAGATGATGAGGGAGAGGAGGAAGTGGAGAGCCACGGCCGAGGTGCCCAAGGAGGCCACGGGGGAGCCGAGTGGAAGAAGTCACTCACTGAACGAGCTCGGGTGGCGATCACCCCAAGACCCTCTTGTGGTCGTCGTCTTTGTTTTCGCCCGGCCCGAAAGCAAAGCAGCCCGTTGCGGCATTTAAACGGAACGCCCAGCTAGAGCCGGCCTCGGCGGTGAGCGGGTAACCGGCGAACCGCTGCTGCGCAGCACTTGAATAGTGCAAAGGATAGGCGAGATCCTTGTCGATCGGTGAACACCGCTCGATGACCAGACACGGTCCAACGTGAGCGACCTCATCGCCCTTCACCACCTTGCAAATGATTTAACGCTGACATGGTACCCTTGCGGGCGCTCTTCCACGTCATGGTTCCTTTCCCCCGTCACGATGAGACGGGGTACTGCAAGGAGCTGCTAGGGCTGGGCCGCCGCCATCTCTCTCTTGACTTCTTCCCGGAGCTGCAGCATGTAGCCGTCGATGAGCTGCATGTTGCGGCCGAGCGCGAAGGAGCCCGTCGCCCTCTGGAAGGCGGCGAACCTGAGCACCATCCACCAGTAGAGAACAGACCTTTGATCCAAGGGCCAAACCAGGCTCTAGTCCCGGGAAATATTACGCCCGGGACTAGAGAGACCTTTAGTCCCAGTTGGTGGCTCCAACCAGGACTAAAGGTCCCTGTCCAACGGCTCCTACGCTAAGCCGTTGTGGCAGGGGACCTTTACTCCCGGTTGGAGCCACCAACCGGGACTAAAGGTCGACCTTTACTCCCGGTTGGTGGCTCCAACCAGGAGTAAGGCTCTTGTCCCGGTTAGTGGCGTGGCCCGGGACTGGAAAGTGACCTTTCGTCCCGATTGGATTCGGTTGGATCCACCAACCGGGACTAAAGGTCCCCCTATAAATCCTGCTTGCCATCTTCTTCCTCCCCGAGCCCGCCCGAGAGCTTCAGTTCAAATTTAAGCAGTGTTCTTGCTCTTTCTCCATCCATTCTTCGATTCCTCCATCGATTTTTTCGATTCCTCCGTTGATTCTTCGGTTCTAAAGGTTACCACCTTCATACTCTCATGTTTCACCATTGTCTTATCTCATTTTGTTCACTATATATATGGTTTTTTATTGTGGTTTTTTTCATTTGTAAGCAATTTGAGTTCAAAATCATTTCAAGCTTACATATTTACATGAAGGAAGGTTAAAGTAGCTATTAAAAACTAGTATTCACCGTTCATTTGTAGCATGCATAGCACACTTCATTGTTTAGAGATATAGAGAATTTTAGAGTTTTTTTAATTTTACTTGTTTATAAAATGAGAAATTTATAGTGTATTAAAAAATGAGTATAGAGAGTAGATGGCAACTGCTTCTGGGTCCTCGGCCTCTCATGGGTTTCCAAAGCGACTTAGGCCGGGCCTCCCACTCATTGCATGTGGCAAGTGTTGTGATGAGACGAAGATTGTGATGGACTACCGAGTGAAGAAGGAGGGTCACAACAAGGGTCGCATTTTCTACAAGTGTCCGGATCGCAATGTGAGTTATTTTATCGTATTTAATGACTATGGTTAATTTATACCTATTTTTATGATGGTTATGATTAAAGTTCTAATTTTCTGTTTTAATTTCAGTGGGATGGCACTGGATGTTCAGGCTTCTACTGGGAGGAAGAGTATGTTGAACTCGTGCAAAAATATCTTGCACAACAGGCAAATATAGCGGCTAATGAGGCAGTGATCCAGCCGAAGAAGCCCAAAGATGTTGAACAAACGGGGGATCTGTCTGTTTTAGTTGGGATTAGTCGCGAAATCCTTGTGCTGCTGAAGTGCATTTTAGCTTTAGTTTTTTTAGTGGTAGTTGGGATTGTCTACATTGTAGCGAGGCTTTCTTAAATTTATAGCTTTTGTGGTGGTATGCATGTTGTATAAATAACTAATTATGTTCTAGGCTTTAATACGGTATTTATGTCATGTAATGCAGATGAGTCGGCATTGGATGTACAATGCTGATCGTCGCTCCCAAGAGTTCATGGACGGTGTGCATTCTTTGTTACATGTGGCTGAGGCAAACAAACGTGATGGTTTCATGTGCTGCCCATGTGTCATATGTAAGAATACGATGGAATATGCTAACTCAAAAACTCTTCATTCACACTTGTTCAAGTCGGGTTTTATGCCAAACTATATTTGTTGGACAAAGCACGGAGAAACCGGAGTTGTAATGGAAGAAGGTGAAGAAGAACAATGGGACGATGATACAATTTTTGCTGAATATGATGCCTTCAATGATACTACAATTGGGGAAGCTGAAGGAGAGGTGGGGGCAAAGGAGAAGCCAGCTGAAGAAGAGGTGGGGCAGAGGAGAAGCCCGCTGAAGAAGAGGTAGGGGCAGAGGAGGAGCCCGCTGACGATCTTGGTCAGGCCATTCGTGACGCACAAAGAGAATGCGAAAGTGAAAAGGAGAAGATCAAGTTCGACCGCATGCTAGAGGATCACAAGAAATTGCTATACCCAACTTATGATGCGGGGCAGAAAAAGTTAGGTACCACATTGGAATTGCTGCAATGGAAGGTAAAGAATGGTGTATCTGACAAGGGATTCGCGGAGTTACTAAAAATCCAAAAGAAGATGCTTCCGAAGGATAACGAATTGCCTAGCACTACGTACGAAGCAAAACAGGTAGTCTGCCCTTTAGGATTAGAAATCCAGAAGATACATGCATGTCCTAATTACTGCATCCTCTACCATGGCATGGAGTACGAGAAGTTGGATGCATGCCTTGTATGTCACGCGTCGCGGTATAAGATCAGGCGAGATGACCCTGGTGATGTTGAGGGCGAACGTCCCAAGACGAAAATCCCTGCCAAGGTTATGTGGTATGCTCCTATAATACCACATTTGAAACGTCTTTTTAGAAACAGAGACCATGCAAAGTTGTTGCGATGGCACAAAGAATACCATAAGGTAGAAGCGGCCCACCGGATTGCCGCTGCGTCGCTGCCGCGAGCTGAGCACCAGCAGCAGTGGGCCATGGAAGGCGACCACTACAAGAAGAATGGTGGCTCTGATTTCTGGTTTGCGAAGCTCACTACTAATTGCAGTCATGATCATAGACTGCGCTCACTACTAATTGCAGTCATGATCATAGACTGCTTGTTAGAATTATATATTGCAGTCGTATTCATGATGAACGGCTTGTTGGAATTATATATATTGGCTTGGAGAAGATGATGAAATGATGGATGGAGAGGATTGCCTAATGCACATCACGTTTCTATGTACTTTGTATATACTGATGAGGCGCCCGGTGTCTTGTGTAACATCCTAATGGGCCAAAGTGGGCCCAATCCAATCCAGTTGTGGGTCGGTGGTACTGTAGCAGAATGGGACGGCTACTGCAGCATCCGAACTTCGGGTTACTGTAGCACCGCGAAAAATACTGCGCAACCAGTTTAGTACCATACTGGAAACTCTGAGATCGCCAGATCAACTTAAATACTAGGGCCAGGGACACATAGTAACCTTCGGTTAACCGTTTTGAACGAAGCGAGGACGAAAGTTCAAGCGGGTTGCTACGCGGGTCGGACCACTCCTAGGAAGAGTGGGCCGGGGCCATGTATGTCGGGACTGGACATTACATCTTGCCTGTCACCGCAGCATTCTTAATAATGACGACAATCTCCTACATCCTACTCCTACAACTAAAAAGAACAAAGCGTGGACACTTTTTGGTGTGACATTCCAATGTGGGTCCATCGTCCTGCCTGCTGGCATCCCACACCCCTTGCTCTCCTAAGTCTGTCCCTTGCGACAAAAAAATCGTTATGTTGGTCTGCCTAGCGTGCGACACTCGCTCCCTCCCTTCCGCTCCACCAATCACGTGTTGCGACCGTCTCCCTGCGCTCCCCCAATCACGCGTTGTGACCATCCATCAATCACGCTGCCGCACACGCCATCCCCATCCCTACGCCCGCATCCGCTCCCTGAGCTCCCCGTCCCTACGACCATCCCTAAGCTCCCCGTCCCCGCT